CGGTTTTCAACCATGCTTGGACCTGCTCTGAGCGGTGAGCCTCCAGCTTCGAAGTGATGATTTTGGAAAATTCCGGGGATGTTTGAAATGCCGCAACTGCCTGACGCCCTGCATCCGTGAACGATGCTTGCAGTCGATCATACTTCGATTGTAGGAAGTCATATTTTGACTGGAGCTCGGACAGAGCAGCTGTTGCTTCGTCCGCCCGACGCTGAACGGCAACCGAGTGACGGTGAGCCTCGTCAGCCTGGTGCTTGAGCTCATCGCGACGACGACCTATTGTTTGAAGCGCGACGACTGTGTCCATTAGCCCCTGCAGGAGACGTAGAATTAGTGAGGATTATAGTGACAATGATAATAAAAAGGGAAGAGTGAAACGTCAAATTACGGCATACCGCGCTGTAAGATTTGATAGAGCGCGCCATATCCAAAATCGATGAAGCACTGAGGGTAGGAGCTGGCTGGTTAACAAGAGGGGCCCCGTGTTGTTTTTCCACGATGAAGGGAATGACTTCAGTCCTCGAAGGCCGGAACCTGGCGTCCTCCTCTGCGGCCAGAGCAGCGAGCCTGCCCCGCATACCAGCAACCTCTGCAAGAAATAAACAGAGTAGAATGGATTAGTACCGGTTGAACTATTTCTCCGCTCCCGAATCAAAGAGGAGGATTCACACCTTTCTTCTTCTTACCGGCTTGTTCCCCATGACGTGGGGGAACCCCGCTCTTCACCCCGACGTCTACCTCGGGCATGGTGGCATCGGGCATGCCCCTACTTGCAGCGGGTACCACGGACTGGGGGGAAACACCCTGCCCGCTCTTCACCCCGGCGTCTACCTCGGGCATGGTGGCGTCGGACACGCTCCTACTTGCATCAGGTACCACGGACTGGGGGGCAACACCCTGCGCCGTAACTAGGCCTGCTTGAAAAAAAGAAGGAGAAGGAATAAATAATAAAAATAAACAAGAGGGTGGTGGAGTTATTTCAGCCGGGTCTTTCTCCTCTTGAATTAGAATGGAGTTCACACCTTTTCCGTCCATGGCAACCTGCTCTTCACGGAACGGGGAGGCCCCGCGCTTCTCCCCAAGATTGGGCGGACATAAATTCGCACCAGGCGCAGGAGGTGGGAGCGTGGTCCCCAATGACACATTGGGGGCAGCAACTTCGTGTCTGTTGCCTGCCACATCTGAAAATATTAGCAAATTAAGGGATGATCTCATATGGCATCTGTGACCTGCTGGGACAGAAGATTTACCTGTATACGAATTAATCGGGAAAGGGCCCCTTTGGAGCAAGGCCTCGACCTTCTCCTCAAGGTCAGGGGTGAGAGAGGCAGGCTTGTACTCGCGCATTGAAATACCCCAGGTGGACGTGACGGGGAGCGAGCGGGGAGCGGATGCCCATACCCATTTATTCGACCACTTCCTAGGTGGATCTGGATACTGATCAAAGAGCTTGCGGTGCGGTAATTGGCAAAGTGACACGAACCCGCCGTCATCTGTCTTATTGTTAGGGCGGTTCCACCTAAAGCATGCACGGAACAACGGTATGGATGGCCGGATACCAACGCCACTACAACGTGCGACAAAAGCAGCCGTAAACATATGTGCGGTTGGGGTCATCTGGCACGGCGATACCCCGATATGGGCAAGGAGTACCACCAAGAATGGACATAAAGGCACCCGCATGCCCCGCGCGATAGATGCAATGTGAACCCCGAAGAACGAATCTGGAGGAGGGCTGGTGAGGCTACTCTCGGGATCTGGCAACATGAGGGTGCAATTGCTATCGACCAAACTTTTCGCCAACTTCAAATCTGCCTCCGTACTGGTGGAACGCAAACGTTCCCTCCAAGCGTTAGGATCTTCGACGCTATCCGATTTGCCATTTGATTTGGGGGAGCTATCCGACTGTGAGGCAATGTCCACTACAGGGGTGACGTTGTTGGAGGATGGCACGGACTGGTCATGTGCCCCCCCCCCCCCCCGGAGCAGGCCGGAGATGTCCCTTAACGATCACAATCCGCGTAGCGGGTCTATCCAACCGCGAGGAGGTGGTGACCTTTTCATGCATCGAAAAATTATCGGAGACCCCTTGATTTTTCCCTGATGCCCCGAATTCGGGCTGAGACGTTGCATTCACCCCACTGGCTTGAATTTGTTTAACCGAGCCTCCACGCACGGACTCTTTCCCCACCTCGCCACGATGGGATCGTGCAACCAAGTTCCCAGACTGTGGCAGTGCGTCCGCCTCGCCCGGGGGGTCTCACGCAGATGATATTTGACCCGCTGGAGGTTGCTGGGACTGTTTGACAGACGGACGACGTTCACGGGTGGAGAGGGCACTATGATGAGCTCCGTGTCGTGAACTGTGTTGAGAACCTGAGCGTAGGCTTGGAACAGGCGGCGATGATGACTGTGAATCGCTGGGTTTTTTCCGACCGCCTGGGCTACGAGATCGCGACGGCGAACAACGTCGTGAATGACCCTCCCTCCGGCGCGACGGAGAAGGGGATCCGCTGCGTTTCTTCGCCGGCTGGGGATGGAGCGACGCGGCGATGCCGTGGCTACGGCTGGAACGGCTGAAGCTGAGGGGACCTGCATGGCTGAATTGCGCGTGGATGATCGAGGGTGTTAAGGCTAGGCCACACTCGGATTCAAGGAAATTAAAAGAATATGGAGAGAGAAAAAAGGAAGGAAATTATTAATTGGAATAGCTCCGAGTTATTTTAGGAAGCTGGCCTGGGGTTTCTGTGACAGAACGCGAAGGCTTGGACGAGATTCCAACCCTGGCTGCGGGGTTCTTTATTGGTCGGGTGTGCGGCTAAAGCCCATGTATATCCGTCGCATGGTCAATATACGGCTACAGAAAAACAAGGCTCGTATTTTGGAATTTCAGGCCCAAATTATTGAAGCTGATGGGAAACGTTGCATACCGTCGGGCCGGGGGCGACTCCGCCCCCCCGGACCTCCAGGCCAGGGGGCGCATCGCCCCCCTGGACCCCCCGACTCGCTGAGACCCCCGTCCTTTCGTAAGCAGTAGGGAGCAAAGCAAAGGGGCCGATCAAGGCCCGCAAAGAATGGCCCCCCTACGGGCCAACGATTACGTTGACGAGCACCCCAAACTGCTACAATGGAGGTGCGACTAGCCAGCCGATCCGATAGACGAACCGATCGTTGATCAACTTGACTACTCCCTTCTAGCCGAGTCTGCTACTCGACTAGGGGAGTGGGGGACTCGTGATGGGATAATGGGCCAGGTCCAATACTATCGACCCAATATGCCTGGGCTCGGGCGCGAACCAGGCCCAGCACACGGTCCGGCTAGATAATATGGTCCTTGGATTGATTGGTTTAACTCTGGGCCCGACCAACCCATTGGCCTTGGATCAGGGTTCTTGTTTTAGTTGTTTAATTGGGCCAAGCCCATTAGTATTTGACAAACCTCTTGTAAGCGCCTATAAATAGGCCGCCCCTCCTTTTGTATTGGATAAGTCACTTTTACTGTACTGAATTGCTGCCGAATTTTCTACTCAACATATTTTCTACCAACATGAAGAAATTATAATTAAAATCACTTTAAGATATGACGAATTCAAATCATTGAGCTGATATTCGTTCCTAATTTAGCTTAAATTATCATCTTGTTAATTATCCCCCAAAACCCCTCAAATTGGGGGAACTTAAAAATTATGCATTTGGATGGTTTTGAAGGGTTACAAAAGCCCTTCAAAACCACCCCTCAATTTTTTAAACTCCCAAACATGAAAAGGAGGGTAATAAACCTCATTAACCTTCCCCTCCCCTCCAAAACCCAACTCCCAAATACACCCTAAGGTTTAATACTTTATCACTATCTTTGTGGTGAAAAGGGATCTATGTACCTCATAGCCTTGGAGAAAATTTTCGAGTCTCAGACCTCTTTAAATGTGGCTGACATCTCTTATTCTCACACAACTCCCCCCGCCCCCAAAGGCTCATGCAGTTTGTTGTTTTGTGGTATTTCACTCGTAAAACATCCATATTTACAGTGGACGGGCTCTGTGTAGAACCTCTCAACTTTGTTAAGGAGTTGTTTTTCTCTTGTAAAGTGTCGGTCGGTATTGATAGTGGATTTACACGACATGTATTAATTCACTAGATATATGATTTATCCATTGGACATCATACCTATCATGGTTCATCGAATATGAGTTCAGGAATAAATGCGAGATTGGACATTTCACTACTTACCTCGGAATCAGATCTTTTACAATTCTATTGTTCCAAAAGTGTCATCTCCCGCTCTACGATCTCCACACACTCCAACCTGACAGGATTTTTGGTAGAATGTATGTCACGGTGACTCAGTCCATCCAATGATGGTAGATTTGTACTCGTGCGCACCAGAGGTTCAGCACAGCACGCAGGAGCGGTAATCTCCACACGACCGCTGCGGTTTCGAACCTTGGTCATTGTTCTAAATTTCCCACCACTGAACCAACTGAGCTACCCGTGCGGATGATGCTTTACCATTCTAATTTTTAGTGTAAGAAAAGGTTTTTCAAAAGTGATATGCCCAATATAAAGATTGTAAATCTAAAAAAAAGAGGATGACACCCCATCCTTGAGACCCCCAACCCTGATCGGACGGTACATTTGAAGGATGTAAATTGGAGTATAATCTCAATCTGACGATATAGAGTGGGGTAAAGATTGTAAATCTAAAACAACCGATGAGAGTCATTAGTTAGTTTGAAAAGGAGATGAAGCGAAGAATAAATGCTAACGTACGACTACTTTGATACTACCTTCGTTCCTAAAAATTCTTCCCGGTTTAACTTGACACGCTTATTAAGAAAATGGAATAAAGTGGAAATGTATGATTGTAGTTGTGTAAGAAAAAAGTAAAATGAATGTGAGCCTCACAAATTGTCCAAAACGGAAAAGTGAGAACTGAGAAATAATTTTAGGAACGGTCCAAAAAGGAAATGAGAAGTATTTTTGGGAAAGGAGGGAGTATATTCAAACAATCTTCCATATAGCAGTAGATATTCAAACACGTTTCTGCCACCCGACCCAGCAGTAGATGACCTCGTACTTTGGGTGGGAAAAGTGCAATGTTTTTCTATCCACTCTTGTTTGTATATACAGTACTCCGTAGATAGATAGAAGATGTGACGATTTGTCCTCAATTAACCCTTTTTCTCATTATCTGCTATCTGCTGGTCATATTCTTTACTGGCACAGACAGGCTAAGATCAACAAAGAAGACGATATGGCCACTCCTGCTTCCCCCTCCATTGGCATAAACCAACGCAGTCTTGTATATCCCAAACCGCTCTCCGTTTCTTGGAAATCCCAATATCGTCCTCACTCTTTACTGCTTCCTAACATAACCAGATCAACCTCTGCTTCAGCTGTCGTCCCGGTAATTTTCTTTTTTTATGTGGTACAAACTGGGAAAGTTCATACCTTTTGTATCTTTTTTAACTTTTTACTGTTTGGTTGGAAATAAGGAACTCAACCAGAGTTCAAACTGAGGATTACAATTAGTATAGGGATACTCAAATTGGACACTTTGGTTTCAAGAAAATCTCATATTGAACACTAAGGTTTTAAGTAGATCAAATTGAATTACATATGTATATCATATTGGACAATCAAATTTTAGTGTTTGTACACTCAATTACGATTCTCGTCTTCCTTTAATAAAAAACGTTAGTCTTACATTTCCTTTCTTTTTTAGTGAAAGTAAACTAATTTAATTACGTATATAATTTTGGAATATTTGATTTGAAGTTTTAGAATATATAATTTGATTTTAATTAATAACTTCTTATATTTAACAATTTAAAAATATATTTAGGACTTTTCATTCATATGATTTTTATGGAACTTTAAGAAATATCGATTTATTAAATTGATTTAAAAATATTAAAGAATTCAATTACATTATACTCCCTCCGTCCCGAAATTATCTTCATTCTTTCCTTTTCGCTCCGTCCCAAATTTATCTCCTTTTTCCTTTTTTGGCAAAGAATTTGTGGTTCACAACCATTCTTACACATTTCTTTTTCCTCTACACAAATCTCCACCACACATTTCCCACTATCTTAAAACCCGTGTCCAGTCAAATAAGGAGATAATTCGGGGACGGAGGTAGTAATAGATTTTCTTAATCGGAGCATCTAATTATATATTCTAAATTTTAATACACAAATTAAGTTATTTTTATTTTTTAGGTACATAAAACCAAGAGAAAAGGGAATACTTATATCTTTCAAGTGAAATCCTTGATGGGTGTCCGAAAAACGTAAAATTTGATCAATTTGAAACTTTAGTGTCCGATATGAGACACCCAAGTAACCATAGTGTCCAATTTGGTTCATTTAAAATCTTAGTGTCCAATATGAGATTCTCAAACAACCATAGTGTCCAACTTGACCCTTATCCCATTAGTATATTCGTCAAATAATTAGGTCTCTTCATTCTCTTCAATGGGAGGAATTGAAATACCAGGTCGGGTCAGAATTCTCATCCCTCCAGGGGGATAACAAATCATTTTACCAAATTGTAGAATTTCACTTTTTTGAATTAGGAATTGAAGAAGAAATTCATAATTGGTTGATATCATTTGATGTCCATAATGCACATAGTCATATACTATGATGGAATTCATAATTGGGTTGAGGTTCCTCGTGTTAAGAGGTTGAATCCAATGTATTCACTAATATATCACAAGATGTTAGAATCATATCAAGTCAACGACAACAACATCCAAGCCTTATTCACAAATGTTAGAATCACACATTGAAAAATTAAAATGACATTTAATAAGACTTCGGATTGAACTAGTTAACACATTTAATTCAATCTTTTAGTGCAGTAATGTGGTTTTGTACAAATGCATGATGACCTATTGGTGTGACCCTAAAACAATCTGCAATCTATCATATATAAATGAATTTATGACTCAAACATTTCAATAGATTCTTAACCGGGGAAAGTAGTTGCAATTTCTCCACCAAAATGTTGTTAATGTTTTTGATAAATTACTCACATGATCTTCTAGAACTATGGAGAATTCATATTCAGGGGATTGTCATTTGTTCAAGTTTTAACCTTTCTAATTATGCCTTTAGTGAAAATAATGGTTCTGATCATTGATCACCCAGAACTGTTTCTTGATTACCCTTTCAGGAGATCAGTAGTACCCATTCTCAAACAAGTGAGGCAAATGTTGAGTTGTTTGGATGCCCGGTTTGTTATGAACAGCTAGTAAGAATAGGCCCTTCGGGTTTTAATATGTAAGCTCGGCTATGGAATGCATTACTAAGACAGTTACTTACATATATGAATGGGTTATTGTTAATCCTTAAATTCCTTCAGACCTGCAATCTATAGGTCTGCATTCAAATGCAGGACGTGTAACAAGGCATATTCCAGCAAAAATGTGTACATTGATCTTACTGTTAGTGCTGGAGCAAAGGTTTACAATGAATTTAAACCCATTAGAACTGAGCTTTTCAGGTAAATAAATCTTTCTATTTACTCCATCAGTCACAAAAAAAGATCCTTACTTTTGGTGTAAGTTATACTAGTAACTTTTAGTATTTTGGTAAGATACACCTGTTACAAGCCATGCAACACTATTAGTATTTTTTGAAATTGGCCTTTTGCTTAAGCTAAACTTATTTTGTTGAACTTGTTAGTGAATTATTTGCTGTGTGGAAAGTTAAAAGAAATTTGAGCTCCATTTTATGAAATATGACCCTTTTTAGCATTAACAAAATTCAGAAATATGACAAACTTAGTTTTTTTTTTGAATTTTGTGAGGTTAAATGAATAACAGGCATAGGTGTGACTTCTCTTATACTGCCTCTGAGTTAAAGCTAAAAGTATATACATAATATCATCAATCATTTTCATTTACCCCAGTGCTGCAAAGGCTCCCACTTATGGTGAGGTAGAGGGGTCGGATGTACGCAGTCTTACCCCTGTACTAAAGCACACAGAGACTGTTTCCGGATGACCCATAGTGAAAATTGAGTCCAAAATTGCATGGACTGACTGTTGCTTCATAACAAAGAAGCGCAGACAGTTTAGTGAGACATTTTGCTTTATTCCATCATAATATCAAGCCAAAAAATAATGAATCTTTGACTCCATTGCAAATGATGGAAATTATATACATAATATACATTATAATATGTATATATATATATATATATATTTATGAGATTTTATTACAATACTATATACAGGAGTCCACTTGTTTCATTTCTGTATGAGAGAGGCTGGCGTCAAAATTTTGCCCTAACTGGGTTTCCTGGTCCTGACCAAGAGGTTGGTAAAGTTACTTGTTTCTAATTCTAATATTAGAAAATAAGCTGGCTTTACCTTTTTAGTTATTAATAAAAAGATATACAAATGGCTGGCTATTTGACGAAGTTGAGTGTTGAGCCACCCCCTATCCCCAAATGACTTGGGAAAATGCTAAGGGTGGTATTTGTGAATACTGAATGGTGCCATAGGATCAGTTTGTATGAAGGGCTTTGGAGGTTTTTTTTTTGGCAGCCCGGTGCACATTGGCGTCCCACTAGGCGAGGGTCGGTGAAGGGTTCCACCACAAGGGTGCATTAGGAGCAAGCCTTCCGTTCTTGGAGGGGCTTCTATATCATCATAAATAGAATGTGCCTATAAACAAAAAAAAATACTTTTTGAAACTCTGAAACGTTATATGATAACCTATTATGCTATTCCTTCAACTTTTATAAAAACACAAATCTATATCAATGAATATATGCTTAGCCCTCCGAAGTCATCCCTTCTAAAACCCTCCAAAACCCCAATCCAAAAAGGCTCTGTGAAATTCTGTCAGATTTGACGTTTGAGCTATGTTAGAGTTGTAAAAAAAGTAAAACCCATGCTGATGGAGTATATGGGTCTGAGCCCCCGGACCCACATACTCGGAAGAACAGAAAGCACAAGACAACAGAGTGGCGCCCTCGTCGGCCAAGACGCCCCCGTCGGCCGAAAAGGGGCCAACTCGGATTATGGTCCTGAGTCCAAGGAACCCGGGTGCCCTCGTCGGCCGTGCCCTCGTCGGCCACGCCCTCGTCGGCCACGAAGACCTCACAGAATCGGATTTTATACTTATTCATTTATACAGCCCATTAGTGGCCTTGTATTCGGCCCAGTAGCGGTCCAGTTGTAAATGGGCCTCCTAAGCCCAAGGCTTGGGAGCCCAACCCTAATTTTCTCTATAAATACTCCCCTTGGGAGTAGTTATAGGGGTTACAAAATCATTCTATTGAAGCATATTATTGCACTTCTCTCTCTAACTCTCACTTCTCTCTAGATATACTCTATCATTTGGTGCTCTCATTGAGAGCTAGAACAATCAAGTTAGCACCCTTCGTCGCTACCAAGCACAGCTAACCACTGATCATGGGGAGAACAAAGTCAAACCGCAACCTCGTCAGCAAAGCCATCCTTGAGGACCAAGAGCCCAGGGAGCACGATGAGGACGCCACGGCCGACCAGGCCGGCGGAGGGGATCTCTTCCAGGAGGCCTTCAACCTAACAACGGACCTCCGCAACCAACTCAACGGTGGCGCCCCTGATGCCCGCCTCGGCTTGGACAAGAAGCGAGCTGAAAAGACGGATCACGCCCCGGCCCAGCCTATGGCCGCGGCCTCTTCGTCCGTAGATCCTCAGGTCCAGGCCGCACTATCTGCTATCATCGCCAGCTTGGCTCAGAACCCCACCGTCCTCAGCGCACTCTTGCCAAGGACTGGGGGGAACGTCACTCAACCTCCTCAACCCCAACCGTTGGCCGTCCAGATTGGCAACGATGAGGGGGTGGTGCCCCAGGACACGGCGTCGTCCCACTCCCACCCTGCTTCCCCTCTTCGGCCCGAGCAGACCCCAACGCGTGGAAAAGCCTCTGCCTTCAATAGGCTAGGTGACACGCGCCGTCGTCCGGTTTCGGAGAGGATGGCGGGACGGATTGGTGATCCTCGTCCTGGCTCGCCAAGGGAAAGCTTGGGGTCTGTGTCCCGGACAGCGGACCAGCCCCGCCCGGACAAGGGCAAGGGGAAGTTGCACGAGGATGACGTGCGTCACCAGATCAACGCGGCTCACAACGAGCGCCTGAGGAACCAGCCGGGTGCCGCCGCGACCGACAGGGACCCCCGGGACGAGGTCATCGCCCAGCTGGAAAGGAGGCTGGCTCGGATGGAGGCCAAGCAGTCGGCCAACATCCCTACGGCCGGCGCCTCCAACGACCCCGGCCTCAACGCGCTCATGAACAAAGTTAGCGCCCTGGAGAGGGAGCTGGCCGAGGGGCGAGGTGACCCCATCATCCAGGTCAGGACCAGGACCCCTTTCACTAACAGGGTCCTCTCGGCCCCCATCCCTGAGAAGTACAGGGGGAACGCCATCAAGTCCTACGATGGCCGATCAGACCCCCAGGAGCACTTCAGCCGTTACCAGAACAACATGCTGATGGTGAACGCGTCCGACGAATACCTCTGCCGTTGGTTCCTCTCTACTCTCGAGGGGCCAGCGTACGAGTGGTTCAACGGGCTGCCAGAAGGAAGCGTTGACTCATGGCAGGATCTCGCCCAGCGCTTCCTCACTCACTTTGCCGGGAGGAAGCGCGCCAAGAAGTATTTCACCCACCTCCTCTCCGTCAAGCAGCAGCACGAGGAGTCCCTCCGGTCATTCATCGATCGGTGGACGAGGGAGACCGAGGAGGTCGAGGGGGCCGATGAGCGCACCCTCCTTGCCTTGTACCAGGGAGCCCTCCGCAGCTCCCCGTACGCTAGGAGCCTCATCACCGACCCCCCGAGGTCGTACGCCAAGGCACTCCAGCGCGGAGGCTTGTACGCCGACGCCGACGAGCTCCACAATCACAAGAGAGAGGGGGGCCATCCCCCCAAGAAGACAAATCCTTCGCCGACCCCGGGTCCGTCCCCGGCCGGCCAGGGTGCTCAGGGCCGTCACGGCTCTGGTGGACAGAGTAAGAAAGACCGCCACTGGCGGCCGAGGCTGGAACGGCCGGGGGTAACCCTCACCCACCCGGTCGGCACCATCCTCGATTATGCCGAGAAGCACGGCCTCATCGAGCAGGCTCCTCGGCCGGCCGAAGAGATCCTTGCCATCCAGCAGGGCGGCACGTACTGTCGGTTCCACAAAAACTCGTCGCACAACACCGACGATTGCATCACACTGAAAAAGGCCATCGAGCGCCTTATTCGCCAGGGGGAACTCTCCCAGTTTGTCAAAGGTGGCCCACGCAAGAACACTTGGGTAAACACCGGTAAACATGGGGGCGAACCCTCTGCGAAGAAGCGGGAGATTGGTAGGCTCAGCGACGACGAGGACTTCGAAGAGCCTCCACCGAAGAAGAATCACATCCACCTCATCGTAGGCGGGAACACTGGGGGGGACTCCGCCACTCAGAGAAAGAAATGGGCCCAATCCCTTTACATTGGGGAGGTATCCCACGTTCCCCCCAGCCAAAGAAGCAGCGAACGGAGGCGATCACCTTCACCGACAAGGATCTGCCTCCGGGTACGGAATCACACAGGGACGCCCTCGTCATCCGATGTGAGATCGGTGACTCCATCATCCACTGTACTTACATCGATACGGGGAGCTCCGTCAATGTGATGTACTTGGACACCTTCAAGCAGCTGAAGCTGGACAGAGCTCTGCTGAAGCCGATCAAGACCCCGTTATCCGGCTTCACCGGGGACTCTATCGACGCCGAGGGCACGATAGTCCTCCCCGTGGAAGTCGGTGACGACCCCCACCATGCCAAAATTGACATGGAGTTCATGGTGGTCAACCTCCAGTGCGCCCACAACCTGATCTTGGGCCGGCCAGCGCTGGAGGACTTGGAGGCCATCATCTCCATGAAGCACCTATGCTTGAAGTTCCCCACCAATGACGGCATCGGCTACGCCAGAGGAAATCAGAGGATAGCCAGAGCTTGCTACCTCAAGCTAACGAGGCCGGCTGAAAGGGAGGGACAGCGGATAGACACAATTACGGCCGCCGTCGCCATGGACGAGGAGAGGCCACATGCGGAGCCGGCCGAGGAGGTCGAGGAAATCCCCCTGGATACCTCCCGGCCGGAGCGGGTTCTCAGGGTCGGAAAGCAACTCCCCCAGGACCAGCGAGACGCCATCCTCCTCGTCCTACGGTCATACGCCGTTGTCTTCGCGTGGGGCCCGGACGATATGCCAGGCATCAGCCGCCAGGTGATCACTCACCGGCTGACCGTCGATCCGGCCTCCGTGCCGGTCAAACAGAAGCGGCGCTACTTGTCCGCCGACAGGCGGGACTTCGTCAGAGGGGAGGTCGCCATGCTCCTCTGAATCAAACACATCAAAGAGGTGAAGTACCCGACATGGTTGGCCAACGTCGTCCTCGCACAAAAACCGCCGACGTTCAGAATGTGTGTTGACTACACTGACCTGAACAAGGCGTGCCCCATGGACCCGTTCCCTCTCCCCAACATTGATCAGCTGGTGGACGAGACGGCGGGGTGCGAGTTGATGTCGTTCCTCGATGCTTTCAGAGGGTACCACCAAATCTCCATGCATGAAGATGACGCTGAGAAGACGACATTCATGACCCCAGAGGGAATCTTTTGCTACCTCGTCATGGCCTTCGGACTCAAAAACTCCGGCGCCACCTACACTAGGATGGTGGCCAAGATCTTCAGAGCGGTCCTTGGCCGGACGATGGAGGCGTACGTCGACGACATGATCGTCAAGAGCAGGCAGGCCACCTCCCACGCCGACGACCTCCGGGAAACCTTTGAAATAATGAAGGAGTTCAGGCTCCGCCTCAACCCCAAGAAATGCGCCTTCGGCGTCCAGGGTGGCAAGTTCCTCGGCTACATGGTCAGCCGGAGAGGCATCGAGATAAACCCGGAGAAAACGCAGGCTATCATCAACATGGAGCCGCCCCGCAACGTCAAGGAGGTACAACGACTGACGGGGCGCCTGGCGGCCTTGAACCGGTTCCTCTCCAGGTCAGCCGAGAGGGCACTCCCCTTCTTCCAGATCATGCGTAAGGCAAACAGCTTCAAGTGGACAACGGAGTGCCAGGAAGCATTCGACGAATTGAAGAGGTACCTGTCGTCCCCACCCGTGCTCTCCAAGCCCAAAGCCGGCGAAACCCTCTTCTTGTACTTAGGGGTGAGCACGTCGGCCATCAGCTCCGTGCTCATCCGTGAGGACGAAGGGGTGCAGAAGGCCATCTTCTACATCAGCAAGACACTTAGGGAGGCCGAGCTCAGGTACTCCCCCGTTGAGAAGACGGTGCTG